GTCAGAGACTCACTCTGAAATGAAGTGGCACGTTCACAGCTTACTGCAGCTTTGACCTGTGACTAGGTGATCCTTCCATCTCAGCCTCCTGAGTAGCTGGGACTACAGTTCTGTGCCACCATGCCCAGCTAATTTTTAAAGTTTTTGTACAGACAAGGTCTTGCTATGTTGCCCAGGCTGACCTCAAACCCCTGGGCTCAGGCAGTTTTCTCACTTCAGCCTCTCAAAGTGCTGGGATTACAGACATGAGCCACTGTGCCAGCCAGCCAGAAAAATTAAATTCTTAAAACTCGAATAAAGTCTTGAGAAATGTGAAACTATAATTAGGACCTATACCTCAACTGCTTATAGTCTGGACTCATGCATTTCTTCACACTGAAATAATATTTTCATTGTATGCTTGAATAGACAATATATTCCTGTTGAAATGGACAGGATAGAACAATTTCTTGAGAAAAAATGGAACAGCATGGGTAAATAGCAGTGCTATGAGGATTCAGACTTGTATTGAAAAAATATAAACTAGCACTTCAGACTATAAAGTAGCTGACTGTTCTCCCAGGTGAAGACTGCAAAATTTGTAAAAATTGAATCTATTCCTATATTGATATTAAATAGATTGTTTCATAATTAATTTGGAAAATTAGGTTTGGAGAGCTATAGTTTAGTACTTAAGTTCTTTAAATTCTCATTCTGAGGTGGCAAAAGATGTGTCATAGGATTGAGTATTCATTGAGCTCTAGGTCTCCTAGCATAGAGCCAGAGCTAATAGATTACCTCTGGGGAGGGTAGTTGAAGAGTCCTTTCTCACAAAGCCCTAAATGGAAGGTATATATAGAGAAATAATTGTAACCTTTGGATGAAGACAGACTTGCCTGGGTTTAAATCATGGCTGACTCCGTTTATTAGCTGTATGGCCATAGCAAAGTTATCTCACCTTTGAACTCCAGTGTCCTCATCTCTAAGAGGAGATATTGCTCAGAACTGTAGTAAGTATTCAACAAGGTAACGTATGTAAAGAGGCTCTTCCTAATAAATCTCAATGCTAAATATACAAGGGGAATCCAAAAAAACCCCAGAATTTATTTATAAAAAATTTATTCTTACGTGTTTAAACTTCAGTCTTCTTCAAAGTACTCTTTGTTTGATGCAATACACCTATCTAGATGCTTTTTCCACTGCTCAAAATAGTTTTTGAACTTGCCAATTTTGATGACTTTTAGTGCTTCTGCTGTTTTATGTTTCACCTCTTCCACATTGGCAAAAACGTTTCCCTTTGAGGACTTTTTCATTGGGGAAACAAAGAAATGTTGTTCAAGGTGCTATTTGGTGAATGGGGAGTGGCTCATGGAGATCATGCCATTTTTTGGTCAAAAACTGCTGAATACTCAGCATAGTGTGGACAGGTACACTTGTAAATCCCCCATCAAGAAATGGGCAAACATGTTGAAAGACTCTCCAAAAATATTCACTGAAATCAAATGCAGCCTCTCACAACAATGCTAGCTGGTTCATTGATGCTGATGGGTTCCTAGAACACTTACCTAGCTGGGGAAGCCTGTACTACAAGGGGCCTGCACTCCAAAAGATAATTCTGGGGTTTTTTTTGTCCCCCTTATATGGTAACTATTGCTTTCTATATTATTATGTCTTTAGAGGTGATTTTATTTGTGATAAATACAAATATTGGTATTTTATGAACATTTAGTAACTGCTCAAAATAAAACATTTTAAAATTCTTTAGAAAATGCATTATATAAAAAAATCAACTACATTGCATTTACTTTATTTGAATGTAGGCATTTCACATTAAATTATATAACTCTAAAATATACAAAATTAATTTTAATAACAAACATTATATGAAGCTTTATTTTATATTCTATTTTCTTAGTTATCAGAATCTATATTATACTGTTTTCTTTAAAGGCTTCTCAGTCTTGGATTTGAAAAGTTTATCAGAGTTGGGAGTATTAGGAAGATTGCCAAGCCAATTTTACCTTACAGGTAAGAATGCTGTATTCCGAAGTCATAGCATCTTCAAAGAGAGGCACAGTAATTTTATATAGCTCTTACTTTAAATTTGGTTTCTGAGGAGGAGTAGAGAAAACTTTATCTTTTTTGGTTAACTTAGAAAAATATGTATTTTGCTTTGTTGTGATGTCATGAAAAATGGAAGAGAGGGGTGCTTTTTAATGTAATTATTTCTTTAGCTTGCATGCTGGCTCAGAAAATGAAAATGAACAATTAAAAGAACTACATGCACTCATGAAAGAAGACCTGACTCCTGTGGAAAGAGTCTATGTGAGAAAAAGTATTGAGCAGCATAAACTGGGGACCAATAGAACCTTGCTAAAGCAGGTAAGAAGTAGCTTCAGTTTGTTTCTTAATTTACTCAAATTATCTTTTTCTGTCAATGGAAGAATATTTCCTTTAAATAAAACAAACTGCTGTAACAGTTAAGATTCAACTAAGGGGTACACGTTTGTGTCCTTGGAGATAATCTACCCAGTGTATGTTTTATATTTGCTTCAAAGCATTCTTCAAATTTGTGAACAGATCCAACTCACTAAGATTAAGCCATCCAGTCTCCTTCTCCCTGTTTGTTTATCTTTTTATAGGCTTGAGGAGGACAGTATACAGGTGGAAATAACTTCCTGGCAAGTTAAATGACATCGATTGTGTTTTAGGAGAAAAGAAAAGGAGAAAGTCTGACCCTGGGCAAAATATCCAAGTGAAATTTGTCTTTATAGCTCTCCTGGAATGCTAAGCCTTTCGGGGTCCATATGTATTCAAGAATCCAGGAGGCTAAGACAGTAGTGGCCAGGTATTGGGAGCCAAGGGTGACACACAGGTTCCCAGGCCATAACAAGTGGTCATGATGGAATCATCCTCCCCTTTGTCAAGTTTTTTTTTTTTTTTTAATTTTAAAGATGTGAGTACAATTCAGGGTTAGATATACAAATGTTCGGTATGTAAGCACCCTTGTCAATGAGGTGTGCCTCCACTTCCCCTGTCAGTTTCCTATTACTGCCAATCCCACCCCCCCCCTTGGCAGTTTTCCACTACTGCCAATCCCTTTTTTATAGTGTTATGATAATTGTTCAAGGTCTGCTTATGAGTGAGAACATGTGATACTCAGTTCTTTGTTTCTGGGATAGATCACTCAGTATTATAGATTCTAAGTCCAGCCAAGTTTGTGAAGTTCATAATTTTGTCCTTCTTTATGGCTGCATAATATCCCATCATGTATATATACTATGTTTTTTTAATACAGTCCTCTTTCGATGGGCAGCATGGTTGGTTCCCTGTTTTTGCTATTGTGAATAATGCTGCAGTACACATGCATGTGCAGGTATCTTTTTCATAGAGTGATTTGAGTTCCTCTGGGTATAATCCCAGTAGGGGGATTGCGGGGTCATATGGAAGGTTGAGTTTTAGATCTTTTAGGATCACCAAACTGTTTTCCACAGAGGTTATACTAGTTTACATTCATACCAACAGTGTAGAAGTGTTCCCTTATCCCCGCATTCTTTCAGGCATCTGTTGTTTTCGAGATACTGATGATAGCCATCCTGACTGGAGTTAGGTGGTTTTAATTTGCATTTCTTTGATGACTAGTGAGGCTGAATATTTTTTTCTTTTTTTTTTGAGTTGGAGTCTCACTCTGTTGCCCAGGCTGGAGTACAGTGGCATGCTGCTCACAGCCACTGCAACCTTGACCAGCTGGGCTCAGGTGATCCTTCCACTTCAGCCTTCAAAGTAGCTAAAACTACAGGTGCACACTATCATGCCTGGCTTATTATTTTTTTTTTGGCTTATTGTAGAGATGAGGTCTCAACAAGTTGTCCAGGCTGGTCTCGAACCCTTGAGCTTAGGCAGTCCTCTCACCTCAGCCTCCCAAAGTGCTGGGATTACAGGCTTGAGCCACTGTGTCAGTCCACATTTTTTTCATATATCATTGGCTGCTCATATATCTTCTTTTTAGAAGTGTCTGTTCATATCTTTTGTCCACTTTGTAATGGGGCTATTTGTTTTTTTTCTTTTTGGCTCATTTGAGTTCCTTGTAGATGCTAGTAGGCCTTTGTCAGACATACAGTTGGCAAATATTTTTTCCCAGTCTGTGGGTGACTCCCAGCTCTCTCAGTGGTTTCTTTGGCTTTGCAGAAGCTTGTCAATTTGGTAAGTTTCCACTTGTCTATCTTATCTCTTATGGCCTGGGCCCTTGGGATTTTGATCAGGAGTTGGTTGCCAGTTCCAGTTTCCATAAGGGTGTCTCCTGTGTTTTCTAAGGTTCTTATAAGTTTTGAGGTTTTACGTTTAGGTCTTTGATCCATTTAGAGTTGATTTTTGTGTATAGTGACAGGTAGGGGTCTTGTTTCAATCTTATGATGTGGTCAGCCAGTTTTCCCAGCACCATTTACCGATTAGGTTCTCTTCTCCCCAGTTGTTTGATGGTGGAGGCTTTGTCGAAGATGAGTTGGTTGAGAAATTGAGATTTTGCTTCTGGAATCTCTATCCTGTTCCGTTGGTCTATATGCCTGTTCTTGTACAATAGCAGGCTGTTTTGATTATTGTAGCTTTATAATGAAGTTTAAAGTCTGGGAGTGTGATACCTTCCACTTTTTTTTTTTTGCACTGAGGATTGTTTTGGCTATTCACAGTTGTTTATGTTTCCATATGAATTTATGTATTTTCGTTTCTAGTTCTGAGAAAAAGGATGTTGGTAATTTAATGGGTATTGTGTTGAGTCTATAGATTACCTTGGGCAGGATGGACTTTTTTTTTTTTAAGATGGACATCTTAATAATGTTGAGTCTTCTAATTCATGAACATGGAATATTTTTCCAATGGTTTGTGTCATCTTTGATTTCTTTGAGCAGTGTTTTGTAGTTTTCGTTGTAAAGGTTTTTCACTTCTCTGGTTAGGAAGATGCCAAGGTATTTCATTTTTTTAAATTGCTATTGTGAATGGGATTGTGCTTTTTATTTGGGTTTCTGTTTGTTTATTGTTGGTGTATAGGAATGCGACTGTCTTTTGCACATTTATTTTATACCCTGAGACTTTGCCAAAGTCCTTTATCAGTGCAAGGAAATTTTGACAGATTCTCTTGGGTTTTTGAGGTCATGTCATCTGCAAAGGAGGATAACTTAACTTCCTCTTTTCCTATTTGGACACCCCTGATTTCCTTCTGTTGTCTGATTGCTGTAGCTAGGACTTCCAAAACTATGTTGAACAGGAGGGGTGGGAGTGGACATCCTTGTCTTGTTCCAGTTTTCAGAGGAAAAGCTTCCAGTTTCTGTCTGTTTAGCAGTATGTTTGCTGTGGGTTTCTCGCAGATGACTCTTACTATTTTGAGGTATGTTCCAAATATGCCTGGATGTTGTTGGTTTTTGTCAAGAAGTGGTGCTGGATTTTATCGAAAACTTTTTCTACATCTAATGATATCATCATCTGTTTTTTTATTTTTACATCTGTTGATATATTTAATTACATTTATGGTTCTGTGGATGTTGAACTAGTTCAGTTCTGCATCCCGGGGATTAAACCTACTTGGTCATGGTGGATGATTTTTGAGATATGTTGTTGGATCTGGTTTGCTAGAATCTTGTTAAGAATTTTAGCATCTATTTTCATCATGGATATTGACCGGTAGTTCTCTTTCTTTGTTGCATCTTTACCTGGTTTGGGTATCAATGTGATGTTATCTTCATACAGTGATTTGGGGAGAGTTCTATCTTTCTCAATTGCCTGGAATACTTTCTTTTTTTTTTTTTTGAGTTGGAGTCTCATTCTGTCACCCA